TGTTTGGCCCCTTAGTGTGATCTTTCGTTTCAGTGGTGCTTTAAGTGAAGCACGACCTTCTCTGGTCCTCGAGAGACCCGCGGATGGAATACGTGTGTCATCAGAAACGTGCCGAGATCGGGTCTTGGGCCTGTTAGTGCTCTTACATAGCGAGTGGACAAGCTGTCATTTCACTTCAAGTAGTTTTTCTTAGTTGAAGAAACGATGAGCCTACCCCTTCATTCGGTAACTGCTTGCTTTCACAGCTGTGTTTTTTATATCAAAGTTTTCTCGTATTTGGATAATAACCAGTCATTGGATGTTTGTGGTTGACATGCAGAATTTTCTTGCAGATTCATAGGTAGGTCATTTACATTTCTGTACATACTTCGAGGAGGCTGACTGTCTTGTCAGGAAAGAGTTCTCAGATTTCAGTTTACAAGGATGCCCATAAGACATGAGTCAGTCTGCTGTAATACTGAAAAATACTCTTTAAGCATTGGTCCTTTCTCTCTGGTAGGACCGGACCTGTTCTATATGCCTCTCGGTTTGGTTTTTGTTCTCTGGCATCCCCTCTTTCACTGTAAGATGGTGTCTTCAGGTTTAATACAGGGCAGGTTAACACTGCTTTGCCTCTGACAATAGAGAAGAACAAGCCAAAGTACACTTCTCGTATTGCCTGCTCATTTGTCAGTCTTTAATATTCCTTCTGTGTGATTCACTTTCTGTAAATCTTTGTCTTCTTTTTATGTTGCTTGATGTGTTTGGAACAACATCTTTCCTCTTGTGCATGCAGTGTTGTTGCTTAAGGAAATCCAATGTTTTCATTTTTCTATTGCTGACAGCTTCAACTTCCACCTTGCATTGCACAGCTTTCTGTCTTGTGTCTGCGCCACTTCCAAAGACTGCCCTGCAATGCAAAGCATGTGGTACGGGTAGGGCTCTTTGTAGGCTGGTGGAGGGGAGATAGGAGTATGCCAAGTCCAGTTGTTGTAAAAACATAATTTTGGTGAAGCTGATGAACGTTTTCAGTCTGATGCGTGCTCTGCTCTTCCCTTTTCATTATCATCATCTGTGGTGTAACCCAAGTCTGAGTGCAAATCTTTCCTTTGATACACAGGCAAGTTGTGTATTAGCTGAGCCCATTTCTTTTTAAAATGGGATTGCTTGTATTCAGGTATGTCAAATGGCTTTGTAATTAATAATTAGCACATTTATTAATCATAAATCTGTGTTTTCACTTTGGAAGTGGAGGCATCAACCCAGGACCCCAATCCAGTACAGCTAAAGTGTTGTTCCATGTACCCAGTGTGCATAACTCTGTATTTTTGTTTCTCTTCTTTAGATGATGAAAGTCATACAGAATCAAAACTTCAGCACGAACAAGATAAATCAAACTCCCTTCCCATTCCTTCAGTTTCCAAGCGAATTGTGCTTGGTGATTCTGTCTGTAATGTGGCAGGCACGGCTGACCATGCAGGCAGCATGGTAGACCTCAAAGGGGATAAGGACTTGTTCAGTAAAACTCCAGAGCTTGTCAATGAGGGTACAAGTGAGCTCCGTCACCGTAATAGAGGGGAACTGCCATCTGAAGCTGCACCACGGCCACCTAGACACGGATTAGACCAGTACTTATCCAGATTTGATGAAGCTCTGAAGCTGCGGAACCAGCTGATGAATGAGAAGCCAAGCCAAGAGAATGGGAATGCAGAGGAGTTTGACTCTTTCCGCATTTTTAGATTGGTGGGATGTGCTCTGCTTGCCATCGCAGTAAGGGCTTTCGTGTGCAAGTACTTGGTGAGTTCAGGGAAACAATCAATCCTATTCTGTTTTGCTAGTTTACTGCAAACTTACTGTGAAATACTCTTTATCTAGGGCTGAAATCTATCAGTAGTGACTGAGTTCGGAACTTCAGGCACTCCTTACATTTCCAACAACTGAATAAAACGCTGTTTGAGGAGCAGAAGCACTGGAATAGTTGTTGCAGCTTAAGTCCCCTGCAAGTTTATTCCCATCTTTGTGAGCATAAGTCAACTGCTCTTCTAGTTTGGAGTCTACAAAAGAATAATAGAGTAAGAACAACAACAGTTGTCCCAAGATAAGCAGAGCCTACTCGTTTATCAGTCTTCTGAGAAAAGTAGTTCCTCAGTATTCCAGGTGTCTGCCAGTACACCGTACAGAGGTGCATGGCTGGTACAGCCTGCCACCTCCTGGATCGCTGGGCTCATTTTTACACACTGCTGTATGCTTCTGCAATTTCAGGTTTTTAGGCTCAAAAAAAAAAAAGACAGAACCTTAACTTGTCTACTTAGGTTTGTAGTATTCAAGAATACTGTTGCTATTGTCCACAAATTATTTTTTTACCTACCTGATTTTCTTTTATGACTTGGGAAGCACTAAATTTCTGTGTTTTCTTAGCTATTACTTCTGACAAAGTTAATTTTCATATATTCTTTTCTGTTCCCTCAGTCAATATTTGCACCATTTCTTACTCTACAACTTGCTTACATGGGACTGTCCAAGTACTTTCCAAAGGTAAAATATTTTTTTCAGAATTAGATTAATTTGAAATGTTTTAAATTTAAACTTACGCTTAGATTGTATTGTTTTAGGACCAATGCATGTGAAGTATTCTTCCCTTGTTTTAAACTGTAGAATTGAGAGTTGCCAAATACTGATAGTTTATACTAGTTTTTAATCTTCCCAGATTTAGTCCAATTCTTTTTTAGAGCTGCTGTGAAATTGTGGACTAGCAACTTGTTTAGCTGTAGCTTAATTAAAAGCATCTGACCAGGAAAGCCAGGTAGTTCTTTCACGTATTTAGGAAGCTTCTGTTTTTCTCTTAGACTGTGCTCTTCTGTGGTTACTCTGCTCTGTCACCAGCCGTTTTGCATGTGATACCTGGACAAAATCTGGGAGGATGTTTGTAACAAAATGACACAGTCCTTGGGTTTTTAAGGGCTCTGCATTCCACTGCTAGTGTCAGTTTGAATGGCAACTTGAAATGAGACGTTTATTTGTGTCTGAAACTTGCTGCTTATTAGCAAGATTTGCTATATCATTTGCTTTATATATTTACACCAGTTAATTGTGCTGAAGTATTTGTTTGGTTGATGATTTTGTCAGGTCTACAGTGCAAAGCGGGATTGAGTGACGCTCAATCCATAGTTGAAAGGGAGCATTTGCATTTTAAAAGGAATAATAGATTAGCTGTAGAAAATCAGAATAAATCAGCGGTTCTTTTGTAGTTATGTGTATCATTGAAAACTAAACTTCATAGTAGTCATTCTAAGCTGACATGTCAGAACACAAAACAGTAGAATTAGCCTTAGACTTGCAATAGCTCATTTGCTAGATCTTTTTGATCTTATTTCTGCTGTTTTTAAAATCAGCTCTTCGGTTTCAGAATTTAAAGAGGTGGTTCATTTCCACAACTTGCTTTTACTGCGCTTATACCCAGCTGAGCTCGATCAGCTTGTTATCCTTCATTTTTCTCTCATGAAACCTAGGAAGATTCTTGAAAGCTTAATTGAGATTGGATTAAGTTAAGATATCCAGCAAGTATCATCAAATTACCAAAATTTTCAGGCACTATCACCTTTTCCTGCCTGTCAGACTTTGCGTCCTCAGGATTCGTCATCTTAAGGACAGAAAAAAAGCTTTCAAAAGCGTTTTGGGGCATTTCCGAATTCAGAGGATAAAACTGTCAAATGGAGTCATACTAAAATAGAAAAGAACAGTTGGTTTTCAATTCTAAATAATTTTTCTGTGTTAGAAAACAGTGTCTTCCGCTGAGTAGTGTGATGAGATTAATCCTGTTCTGCCAGTGGAGATGCCTGCCTTGGCTTCTTACACCCAGTCCCTTGTCTGGGACTCTTCCCACTCATGCAGAAGCTGCTGCACAGCCCCACTTTACAGCCTGCTTGGAGTGCCAGCGTGAAGTAGGCTAATACCTGTGATGAAATCTGCTGCTAACTAGCCTGTCACTCAGCTCCAGTGGATCCATCACATGGATCTGTAGCTAGGATAAGTGATGTGAATCCCGGAGCATGTCTGGAGAGAATCAATCTAAACCTGCTACTCTTGCCAATGAATTTGGAATGTGCCTGGCTGTGTGTGAAATTGGCACAACATTCGTGACATTATGTAAAGCAGAACTGGATTATAACAGAACTAACATAATACTGTTTTTTTTTCCTTTTAGTGTGAGAAGAAGGTGAAAACGACAGTATTAACTGCTGCTCTTTTACTGTCTGGAATCCCTGCAGAAGTGATTAGTCGCTCCATGGACACCTACAGCAAAATGGGAGATGTTTTCACAGACCTTTGTGTCTATTTCTTTACTTTTATCTTTTGCCATGAACTTATTCTGTTTTTTGGTTCTGAAGTACCGTGATGGTGTAGAGTTCAATGCAGTAGTTACACTAAAGCTTTCTGGACTGTATTCCTTTAACGTCTGACTGTGCAGAGAGGTTTAAACCTTCATTAAAATTACCTGTTTGAATGCTTGAAAGGAGCCTTAAATCCAGTCATTTTGGGAAAGGAAGAGCAGGGTCCCAGACTGCCACTTGTATTGGTTCAGTTTGTTTAAATACTGTGTCTGCCTATTACAAATGTGAAGAATAGGATGCAAGTGTCAGTGGATGATTTATTTGGTTTAGTTATATGATGCCCTTCTCAGCCTCCTTCATAAACATTTACAAAGCTGCCTTTGTTTTCAGAGAGAACAAAGAGAAGAGAATTCCTTTCAGCAGAATCATATATATATATCTCTCCAATATGACTATAGCTTACAAGAACTGCTCGTTTTGTGGTGTTCCCATTTTTTAAGAAAGCTTTAAATAAAAGAAATCCCTGTATTCTGTTGTTCAAATTCAGAATGTTGAACCAAGTAGCTGCTTCTGGAGAACGTTGGTGAAACATTCCACTTTGTTGTCCTAATCCTTGCCTTGCTATACATTATTTGTTGTGATTGTGATTAATTTCATTTGATGAATATAGTGCAAAACAGCTAAGCAAAACCAACAACAAAAAAGTCCTGTTGCTTACAAATGTCATTAATCAAAAAGTAGGAAGAAATAAAATTGTTTGATCTCACCAGTTTGTGAGTTTCCAGCAACCTAATCCTAGCGGTAGCTCATTCATGTGCTTTCATTCTGATGCCTTTTTTTTATTTTAACAGTTCACCTCATCAGGGGAAAGTTGTATATCTTGGCAACCAACCTGCAGTATCAAATGTTTGCTCTAGTATGTGTAAAACTTACAAGGGAACTATTGGTTTTTTTCTAGCTCCTTGCAGGATTGCGTAAGACAACTTTTAATAGGACATTCATTTCTGCAGTTTGTCTCTGTTTATTACCAGACATTTGCATGTAAACAGGATCTCAGTTGCGGAGGAGTTCTGCTGCGTAATACTACAACCCAACAGTCTTTGATTCAGCAGAGCTATTTATGTTAACTTTCAAACTGCCCCAGTGAAATCACAGTAGCCATTCCTATTTAAATCCTGTATACTACAAGTGACAGTGAAATAAAAAGTAATGCTTTGAGTTGACTCCCACATGGAGATCTATGTATGAAGGGAGACAGCATTTTTTACTTTCTTCTGTGGATGTCCAGCCACATAGGTGAAGACCAATACAGATGAATCCTGTCACTGGATAAAGTAGTAAGCTAGCGAATGCTCTGGTTTTCAATCTCTCATGAATTTTGCACAGTGAGAGGAAGGGTCATTCCAAATAGTCAGCTTAAACGCTGATAATTTCTATTGAAGCTAAATTTGGTGTTATTTTCAACTTGTAGTTTTCTGTTTAGAATCTGGTCTTTCAGGTAATCTAGGCCAATGCCTTTTTTTAGCATAGAGAAACACCTATTCATCTTGGTATTTGTCTGCAGAAATTTTTTTAGGGAGCAAAAGTGTTTGATTATGCCTCTTTAAAGTAAATAGTCTTGCTTTCTGCTTAATCTTTTCTGTTAAAGCTTCCTGCTATAATTTAGGACTGCATTTCTGACTCCTAAGTTAGATATATGTTTGTTTGTGGCATGAAAACAAGAAGCTTATGTTTTGATTTGACAATATTTGTGTTTTTACTGATTATTTTACAGCGAGTATCATATTACAGGTGTCCGGGGCTGGGCTGCAAAAGATTCTGACTTAGGTGTATTAGCATAAATATTTATTCAGCAGCTTTAAATTTGTTTGTATTAGACAGGAATTTCAGCAAATTGAAATAGCTGTCATTTAAATTAAGGTTGAGATATGTAAATAATGAGTTTGCTCAAAAGTTACACTTGTTCTGATTATTTATATGCCCAAACATAATATAAATAAATTGCACAGGTACTGTGTACTGACATCTGCAAAAAGCAATGAATTTTTAATCCTCAGCATAAAAATTTTAATCCTAATCAGCTAAATACTAAGAAAAGAGCTGACCCACCTGCTGTATGTTCACTCAACCCCTTGCACTGTCCTTGTATGCAAGGAAAGATGAAACGGGTTTTCTCAAGCGGTGAAAGAAATCTTTCTGTGGGACCTAACCTGGAACTTTTCAGCCCGTGAACGCTTGTTTTTATCTGAGGACTTCAGGGTGGGCTGGGGGAAGCCCCCCCGCCCTTGGGTGGACAGGCATGGTGCCAGGAAGGGCTTGTGCTAGGTGACGCTTCTTCCCCTGTGGTCAAGAACTGAATCCCTTCTCGTCCGTCTTTAACTTATCTCTGTTCATGTACATAATTCTATTTAATGTTTATTGCCAAACTGATTGTTTTCTATTAAAAGTATATTTGTTATCCCCTTCCTTGGCGGTTTGTCCTGGTTCGGGAAGAGGGTTATGGTGAGCGGTGGACGCTTTGCACCAGGAATCCCGCCTGGGCTGGGCAGCGGGGACAGGGCTGAGGCCTTCGACCGGGCCGTCGC